TATTGGTGTTAAATCTGTCTTATAACAGATTTAACACCAATCAGGTGACTGATCACAGACAGCTCCTGTTAATTGAGTTATTCGATAAGAATAAAATACAATATGAATATAGCTCTATCATTGAAAAATTCGCTTATTTTTGCTCACCTTGAGTTTGCTTAGTACAAATGGCTAAAATGTACACAAAATATGGTATTACAGCACCATCTGTATTGGACGACCACCTGTCTAAAAGACCAGACTTTTTGAAAGGAACTGTGTGTGGTTGCCATAGACAGGTTTTACTGTATATTAGTGCAGAAATTGTGGGAAATTTGCATTTCTGCTATAAAAACTCAAAAAAAAAAAAAAAGTACTTTTAACAGTAGTTTGGAGCATGCATTGCCTACCTTGCATGCTCTGACAGCACATCTTTATTGAATATTTTATCAAATCAAAGTTAAGTTTTTGATTAAGATGAGATGAAGGAGGAACTTTGAATATTAATTATTATAATTTATGTAATTGTAAATAATTTTTGAAATCTTTATTTTATTAATACCTTAATTAATTGTAATAAAATATATAAATATTATTTAAAGTTATTCAATTCTTTAATAAAATTATCTTTTCAGTTAGAGAGGAAGATTGAAAAAGTCAGAGCTAAATATGATTTTGAAGGGAGTGTAAGTATTAATATATTATTATTAACAATAATTAACTAAAATCACATGTTGTATGAAAATTTAAAACAAAAATGAAAAATTACATTTTTTGTGATGTTAATCTAATTATATTTATGTAATTTTTGATTAAATAAAACTATAATCATTGATTAAATTAAATAAAAACACAAGTTGTGTTCTGTTATTTTGGAGAATTTATATAGATGTATAGAGAGGGGAGAAGTCTATTTAATTTGTTTCTTACATTGATAGTCATACATTTGGATCTTTCTAAACCTTTATCAGTTGCTTTCAAATTTTATCTTTTATTTATTTTTTTCTTTATACAAAAGATACATGGTAATGTCCAATTTTTTTTTATAGGGAATTAATTACCAGAATGAAGCTTAATTATAATTATGTTGTAGATGTAAATTTTCAGTGTTGTTGCTAGAGGCATTCATAATAAATTAAAATTTAAAACTACAAAAACCAAATGCCTTGTGATTAATAAGACTAGACATTCTCATTTCTACCGGCACTTACCATCAATTAAGATGGATGGAAAAGTCATAAAAGTTGAAAAATCTATTCAGTATCTTGGAGTCACATTAGACCATCATCTAGCTTGGAACGAGCACATAGAAAACACAGCAAAAAAAAACAGGCGTAATCTTTCAGGCATTTTCTCAAATTGCCTGCAAAACCTGGGGCTCGACTCCAAGGCTCTGGACATTATATATGAGCAAATATTTATTCCTATTGTTACATGTGTGTGCAACAGCTGGGGATGGGCAATTAAGAAAGTGCACCTTAAAAGGAAGATGATTTCTGTCTAACATAAAAGCCCTTATATAAATTACAAAAGCCTACTTGCAAGTCATCTCTTGAAAACTATCAGTAGACAAAATTATTGAACTTAACTCCAAGATCAAAAACATGAAATGGGGGCACATCATCTTGACTGTCTCCAAAACATACTATGCATCTGATCTTGAAAAAAATGCTCCTTATTCCCAAACTGTTTACCCCGATTCTTTCAAACAAATCACCAGACTTAGTGACATTGATCTCCATCTTAAAGTATTCACAGACAGCTCTAGAATAGATGATAATATAGGCTGCTCCTTCATGGCTTATGAGCAAGACAGAGATCTTTCGTTAACAATATTGTCTGGGAAAGCATAGTAATAACTTCCAGGCAGAGCTTTATGCTATTCAAAAGGCTCTTGAATGGACAATAAGGAAGTATACTAATACTAAAATTGTGATCATAACAGACTGTTCCTCAGCTGTTGTGCTTATATATATCACCAGGCTATATCCTATAGTGGCAGAGATTCTCAAATTAATTATACAGTCAAACAACACTTGCATCATTTCTTGGACATGAGCCCACATTGGTACTCTGGGCAATGAAAGGGCAGATGCATTAGCAAAATCTGCAGCCTTGGATCACAGCATACCTGTTACATATAATAAATACAGTAAGGCATTTATAAAAACTCATCTTTGGAATGATCTAATACAGGAGTTGCAAGAATCCTTGGAGAACAATAATAATACCAATAGTGTTACAAAGCAATTCATCCCTAATATCAAACAATTTTACTCTCTTAAATGGTTTACCCCAGATTACTATATAACCCAATTCTGACCAATCATGGAAATTTTAAAAGTTACCTTCAGAGGTTCAAGGGATATCCCAACAAGGACTGCCCAATATGCAGTATGGAGGATGGAGCCCTACATTACACCTTTGACTGCATCATTACCAAAATTGAAAGGCAACAAATTTGAGTACTGATCACACAACACAATGATCATTGGCCCTGTAGCCCAAGTGATCTACTAAGTACTAAGGAAATCTTTGACATTTTTAGGCAATTAACTAAAACATATCATAGGCATTCTGCAGAGACTGTAAATAACAGGTGACTGATCAGTATTTGCTATTGCAGCCTAGATAATATATCTTTTAATGTTGGTTTACTGTACATACAACTTCTACTGCAATTGATGTTTTTAGCTCTACTGTGTAAACTATGTATTTTTTCTTATTTTGTATAAAATACTTATGATTTTATTATTATTTTCTATGTCAGTAGGTATTTATTTTGAATCATCTTGAAATCCTGCAACTGTTTTGTTTTGTTGCTTGATGTTAATTACAAATTACCATTTTCATACTGTTTAAATTATAACACCAAACGATTGCCTAATTATCGGGCTATAATATGGCTATATTAAATGATTGGAACTAAGTAATTTGACATTATAGCCCGATAATTAGGCGATCGTTTGGTGTTGTTATTATCTACTCGGGCTGTGAGTTGATGTTTATATGTTTAAATTATACCAAACTATGTATCCTTATTTAGTATTGTATGTTTTTAAGTGCAACAGTGCCTAGCAGAGTTGGGCATGTATGTGTACATTTTTAATAAAACCTGAAAAAAACCTGAACCTGTTGTTGCTAGAAGATCTGTTAACATATGTCTTTAGAATTTATTCTGTTCAGTTGAATAATAAAAGTTTAACAAAATCAGTATTACATGTTAGCCAGATTTTCTTAGTTTTTCCTCCTCTTATGTAAGCATACTAATAGTAGGATTAAGGAATAACAAGTTTTGATGTGATCTTTGATACTTAATGAAAAAGTGAATAATAACTAGTGACTTCACATTAAAAAATAAAATACTGGCATGTCCTATGAATTAAAAATATTTTAAATTCTAATGCTTAATAAAATATTCGATAGAATATAAGGAAATAATAATTTACTTATTTTTACATATTTTTAACAATAGATTAATTTTCAATAGGGTGATCCAGATGATTTGCCTTTTAAGAAAGGTGAAATTTTAAGTATTATAACTAAAGATGAAGAGCAATGGTGGACAGGTAGAAATCATTTGGGTCAGACAGGATCTATACCTGTTCCATATGTGGAAAAGGTACATTTTAAAAGTTTAATTAAATATTTCTCTATAATTAATTTTACTTTCATTATTATTTAAAAATTTTTATTTTATCTATTTTATAATGGATATTGAAACATTTTAATGTATGAGCAATGAATTTTGCAATATTACTTATAATTTATTTGAATTCATTCTTTGATCAATTAAAAATTTCAATTAAATAATTAACCCTGCGTTAGTGTACTGAAATTTTTTTCGGCATTAATGCAGTGGAGTGTTTGTCCACCCTGACATTTTTTTGGGTCCATAAACCATGTAAGTAAAAATTCATAAAAATTTACTCATTTATTTGGTAAAGGCATGTGTCATTATACATATGATTATATTCAGGTATGATTACATATTATATTAGTACATAAATCCATGAAAATAAAAAATATTTATCAAAACTCGTTACAATAGATCTTATTATTAAACAAATAGTAAAAATCTAAATTGTTTTTTTCAGCATTTTTGTCACTCTGATTCAATAGCTGACATTGTACTTTGGCACTCAATGCAAATGACAAGCAGCTTGCTATGTTTGGTATTTTCTCAGTGTGTTTATGAAAGTCAGCTATTTTGAATTAAAATAAACTTATAATAATCAATGTGAATAAAAATAATTTATCTCTATTATAAATAATAAATGTGGTCACATTATAGTTATTTTAAAAATAAAAAAACTAAATAAATATTTGTAAAATTTAAAAAAAAAC